CTTCCCGCCGCTCCCGCGCGTCCCTTCCCTCAGCGGCACCGTCAGAACCCCGCAGTGCCTCCCTAGGCCCGGCTGCGGTCCCGGTGCGTCGTTCCGCTGCAAACTGAGGCAAACGCCCCTCGTCTTGGTACTTGGCGCTGCCTCACGAGTCGCCGTCCGAACGCCCTCGGGCGGGTTTCACGGCTGCCCTGCAGGGGAAGCGCTGCTGTGTAAATACCCTTTATCTCATCACGCGTTTCACGCTACAGGTCGCATCCGGTGTTGCACAGAAGTTACTTCAGTCTGCAAAATCTATTCCCACAAAATACTACTTTTTAATTATTATTGAAGACCTAGTGGGCTATTCAGGTCTCGAACCGAGACGCAGTGCTTGCGCTTCGTAGTATTTGCGTGTGCTCAGCTGGAACGCGTGCCTGGGCTGTATCGTGCCAGAAGGTGGACAGCCTGGTCCCTTCGGCTGTGTGGCAAACCTGTCCCACGCGGCTAAATGCAGCTAGAAGGTTGTATCTAATGTAAATTAAACTGTGTTTTAATAGTTACAGCAGTTGAATGCTGAGTGCATGGAAGCAGAGATTTCTGAACAAAATAACAGTTCGACTATCCAAGTCCACATACACAGCCTTTTCGGAAATGTCCTCTGTAGAATTCCCTCGGTGTCCTTGCCATTGGCAAAGCCACTCATCATTAAACAAGAACACCACCAATTTGGTTAATTGAAACTAATTAGAGCAGCGCTTGCTTGATCACATCAGGCTATCGTGTTTTTCAGATGGGCTGTGCTGTATAGCATGTATTGAACTTGATGACAAACAGAAACGTGTAAAAACCCGTGTTTTCCAACGCAGGTGAAAAACAAACAGCAGAGCCAGAAACAGGAAAAAGGCCCCAATCGCAGCCTGCCCTCCCTACCGCCCCGCTTCCAGTCCTTGCTGCCAATCTCATCCGTGCGTTCTGCAGCTTCCCCCAGAGCTGCTCTCACGGGAGTGTGTTCTTACCTGTTGTTGTAGCTTGCTTCTGTGGATCGGGAATTGCCTCTTAGAGAGCTGGATTTCTCTTAGTGTTTAGAGTAACTGAAGGATCGGATGTTGAGAAGTACAAAATGGTGGATGTCCAAGGGCACTTTGAGGTTTTCTCCACCTTTTTTTTTTTTTTTTTTCCATTGTAGGCACAGAATTGCGGTTCGTACACCTTGCTTGATATCT